GAAAATATTTATTGGTGCTGCTAAACAGCTACTACTCACTACGAACTAACAACTAGTTTTTGGACAAAACTGTGATGCCCATTTAGCGCCGCTCGGCCTCCTCAGGATCGTTCTCATCCGGCCACTTCCACAAAGCCCGGAGCTCACTGGAACTCTGGGATTCCATGCCGGAGTACCTCACTTGCAGCTCTCAGGCCGGCGAAGATCCCTCGCATTCCCTCATGTAGGGACCCAAAGAATTACCTATTTGGGTTTAGGGCTTAAGGCAAAGAATTACCTATACTACTTTTGGGGGCTCCTTTTTCTAGTTATAGTATCCTTGCTTGGCCCCCGAAACATCCTAGTCCTAGCCCTACACCATGCATGACCAGAAGGCTGGCTCAACTCTCCAAGTGGGAGAGTAAGACAAGGCAGCATGTACACAACGGAAGACCACAGAAGAGGGTCGAGCCGAGGAAGAACATGTTAGATTGCATCTTTTTAAAATACGAGTATGTCACAAAGGTTTGCAATAAGTCTCGGAAACTGAAGCAAAAAAGGCTAAGCATCCGACTCACAGACCTCGATGTGCGGCAGGAACGTAACCGACTTCTTGACGACGGACTTCTTGTTGGGGTCCTGCTGCATTTGCTTGTAATTATCTCGGTATGACTGGGACCACGCCTGTTGCCTTCCTCTTACAAAGAGCTGCTGCGCGACGACTACTGAGGTGTCTACAGCCTCTGCTGATAACTTGACACCCTCTTTCGTGAATCTCGAGGCTGCAAAGCATGCAGACGGTCGACATATGAAGTGAGAATGGGCGTCCATGATTAAAGCTGGAGTCATCTCCATCATCACCGTCACCATCGCCAGCACCATCATAGCAGCCAACATCAGCAGTACATGATAAGAACAGCAGGCGGAAGCAGCACAGCCACCATCACCATTACCATCAATGCAAGCAAGAGTAAATATCTAAGACAGCTTTACAATCCTTTCTTGCTCTCCCACATTGCCGTCCGCGTACGGAAAGATGGTGCAGTAGGGATGTTTGTTTGTTCACTGTTCCAGAATTATCAAGCCTAAGTCATGGAGGTGTTTAGGCAAACATCTTCAAGAGGTTCACTAAAGTCAGGAGCTTCTGAATGCTGCAAGCAACAAGCCAAGGGGGATCTTTTGGAGTTGTGAGGCATGGGACTGTTTCTTCAGCCCCTGAAACCACCTCAGCTCTTTCGAACCCTCGACCTGGGATCACAAACTTCGACACAGATCCTGGGATCCAGGATGGTCTCAACGAGCTCCAAGTTGCAACAGCACATCTGTCAAATTGCACTTCTAGTCGTCCAGCCCCTGAACTATTGCTTCCAAGCTTTCATATGAGATCTACCGCATCAGCATGGTGAAACAAGCAGGAACAAGCAACACAATCATGGCCTTGATTGTAGTAGCCACAAGTCAACGAACTTATAGAAATATAAACGAAACAGAGCATGAACAGACAGGCATATTGTCTATCTTTGGAACCATATATATATATATATAT